ACATTCACCTGATATTCCCTCCACTGTCCGAAGAAAAAGCAGAGCCAAATATAGCCCTGAAAATCAATATACACTAGGGAAGAGCCTCCAGGATTGTGATAAATGCGTGTCATGCTAGAAGAGGAATTCCTAAAATCCTGGGAGCGCAGGTGGCTGCTCTCTCCCCTTCAGCAATAAACTACCCCCGGTTAATTTTGGCAGAAAGCACCCTAGGGAGCTCTGCAGTGCAGGGCACAGCCATGAAAAGGGCAGGCAGACAAAGGAAACACAGCCCCTGGGAATAATGGGACCATCCATCCTCATCCTGCAGCCAGTGCTGGCACCATCTGTGCAGGGAAGCTGATGTTTTCCATTGGAGGAATTGAGTACAGGGTGTCTTGGACCACTGCTGGCCCAGGATGAGCCTTACCTCCAGAAGTGAAGGGACTGAGAATGAAATCAAACCAGAACTGCAGAGATTTCACCCCAATTACCTCTCTGAGGTTGCAAACCCAGGTAAATCACCCAGGCTGCAAACACACATGGCAGACAAGACAGCCTCCAAGATCCCCTCTGAGGCACATGGAATTTTTTCCCCAAGGAAGGCCTCAATCCATGATCTATTTCCATGAAACATTTATCACTTTTCATTCACCACACAGTACTGTTATTTTTAGCAAAACTAGAGGCAATGGGAACAAATTCCTGAATAATCATTCAAGGGAGCCCTTCCACGCCTGCTTGCATCCTGCCATTTCCTCCTTCCCTAAGTTTTCTTCACAAAGTTCTAGCATTCAAAGCTCTTCCCTTCATCACCTGCTTTTATATAAATCAAAAGGGCAAAACAACCTTTCCTGTGCTAGGGAATCGTTAAGAATTCTTATTTTTCAAAATAACACTTGGTGAAGAGTCAGGACTAAGGGAATCCAGTGAATTCCAGAGCTGATATGTGTGAATTAATGAACTAAGTGAGGTGAGGGAGGAAGAAAGAAAACCAGCAAGTTGGGGCTTGCAGCAGAGCGAACTTTCCTGCCTTTCATCCAGGAAACCACCACTGCATTCAAGTGCTTCACATTTAAGTGCTGCTTTCAGCTGTTAAAAGAGGGATAATCATTTATAATTCATGCCAGCTCTTCCAATTGATAACCATTTCCTCATGGGTAAGAAAGGAGACAGATAAATCATGACAGATAAATACGTTTTCTGAGACAAAAGACAACAAAGCAGAGTTGAGGAGCTGCGGGCTCCTGTTCTTCCAAACCCACGGGGATCAGGATATTACCATACTGGGCTACAGCATCAGATCAGCTCAGGACTGCCCATCCCTGGAAACGCCCAAGGCCAGGTTGGACAGGCCTAGGAGCAACCTGGGATAGTGGAAGGTGTCCTTGCTCATGGGACAAGATGGGTTTTAAGGTAATTTCCAGCCCAAACAAGTCTGTGATTCTCTGATTCCCAGCTTGGCTAGAGGAGTGGTTTAATTCCATGTGGAACATGGATGCTGAAGCTGAGACAGAGGCGGCCAAAAAACTCATCCCTCTTCCATACACCCCTGCACATGCACAGAGTGCTAAAGCAGAGTTAGGTCATTAAATTATCCCATGACCAACAGAACATGGGTTTGGGGACAGCCTTAGTCCAGAAAAGAGGTTCTGAAGCTTGAACTTCCCTGCTCCTCTGTTCTACATGCGGCAGTTCCCTCCCCTCTCCTGCATAAATAACCCCAAATTACTGACTGCAAAGGGCTTCTAATAGCAGCACAATTCAGCAAATCCTCTGTGGAAACTGGGGAGCTGGCTGAAGGGCTGTCAGGGCTTTCCTTACTGGGGGAATGGCTCTGGAGCTTTCCTCCAGCAGGCGAAACATTCCTTTGATTGTCACTGCATGGGCCATGGTTTGTCCATTTAGCTCAGGGTTGGAAATTAAAGACAAATATTAATAAATCATAAGTACTGCAGGAAATAGAATCTCGAGCTGATTTTAACTCCCAAGGCTTTAAGCTGCAGTTCCTCTGCTATCTGGGAATCATGGAATGGTCTGGGTGGGAAGGGACTCAAACCCATCCACTGCCATGGGCAGGGACACATTCTACTAGCCCAGGCTGCTCCAAGCCTGGCTTGGACACTTCCAGGGATCCAGGGGCAGCCACAGCTTCTCTGGGAAATCTGTACCAGGGCCTCACCAGGCTCTGATTATTAAAAAAAAATTTAAAAAAAGAATTAAGGGAAGCAGGGTTGTTCAATGAAGTAAATTTATTCCTTTTCCTGCCCCGGGCCAAAGGGGGATCCTCAGGAGTCTGAGGCAGAGCAGGCAGAGCTATCCAGAGATGGTTATTGTATCCTACCCCAGAGCAGGATGTGGGCTGGGGGGCTTTGTCTTTTTGTACTTCTGTGAGCACCTCAGAAATTCAGGCGTGCCAATTAGGGGTGATGTGTCTTTGAAAAGGGAAAATGTTTCCCTTCCTCCAATAAATGCTTAATTTATACAGAAAAGAAGATAGAAATAATTTTCACTGCTGATGACTGAAGTCAGTTCTATTGAACCAAATTCACTCCTAAAAAAACATTTCATAAAATTGCTGTAAATATTTCTTGGTTTGGAGTTGAAATGCTCTGCATTTCAGGGAGGATTTTTAGAACTTTCTCACCATTTCACATCAGAGAAAAACAACTAACAGGGGTCAAACCTCTCCTTCACTTGGTTCGTGGTGAAGAGGAAAACATTTTGGTTTCCTACAAGCACACCGCAGTGATTTTATCTGCAACAGAAATGCAGCATAAAAGCTCATCGACCACTCATGTTTATTCAACCTTACCCTGACCAGGGCAGGAGAATGTTTTAAACAAAATAGCCCAAGACACAATCAAGCAATTTTTTTCCCTTATGCTGTTTTTAACCATTATTTCAGTCATGTCTGAGACTTGGAATACCACCCATTAATCCCACATACAACTTGTTTTTCCAGAGCAATGCTTAGTGTTACTTCTCCTTTCTTCTCTCAGAAAGATCTGCAGCAAACTCCTGAAGACAAGAATGATATGGCAATCCCAGAATGGGCTCAGTGGGAAGGGATCTTTAAGGTCATCCCATTCTACCCCCTGCCATGGGCAGGGACACCTTCCACTGTCCCAGGGTGCTCCAAGGCCCAACCAACCCGGCCTTTGGCACTGCCAGGGATCCAGGGGCAGCCACAGCTGCTCTGGGCACCCTGTACCAGGGCCTGCCCACCCTCACAGGGAACAATTCCTCCCCAATATCCCATCCATCCCTGCCCTCTGGCAGTGGAAGCCATTCCCTGTGTCCTGTTCCTCCATCCCTTGTCCCCAGTCCCTCTCCAGCTCTCCTGAGCCCCTTTAGGCCCTGGCAGGGGCTCTGAGCTCTCCCTGGAGCCTTCTCCTCTCCAGGTGAGCCCCCCAGCTCTCCCAGCCTCAATTCCATTCCCCCAGCTCAGTTACTGGGAGAACCATTTGACAAAGAGAAGCGCTGCCCACCTCTCATCCCACCCACCTCACACCAGCACAGCTCCCCAGGGATCTCTGCCTCATTGTTTTCCCAAAAGCATAGAGGCGAGTTATTAAAAATACTCAAAATGGAGTCCAAACAGCAAGAACTCTGTAACTCCTGCCTGGTTCCATCAAACAGCCTCAATTCACCTGGGAAAAAGCAGCCAGAACAGACTCTACCATCGAGTTCCCTAAGCTCTCAACCAGCACCAGCCTTTGGCCTGGAATACCTCAAAAGGAAACATTAAACTTAACCAGCAAACAAAATCAAGCCCAAAATAAAAGGATAGAAGATTCAGACCCATCCCCTTCACAATACTGGCCCATGATCCACAGAGCCACAAAACCCAGCCTGGCTCACGACTGAGGGGCACAGTAAAACCTGTAAGTTGACCTGTGCTCCCACAGCGACTTTAAAATGAGAATCCCTCTGAGGGTTAGGAAAATAGAACCTCCCTTACCTGACAGACACGTTTGGGAGCACACAGAGGGGAGATGGATTTCTCAGAATCCAAAGCCAAACGCCCGTGCCTGGTAAACAACCATCTCTTCCTTTTTTCCCCCAATGCAACAACTCTACCTCCTTGAAGGTTTCCTTCTCCAAACAGGCACTCAAGTCCACAAAAATCTAGGTTAGGTCACAGCCCACTTTTTTTCTCCCCCTCCCAGTGTACCAAAGTTGTTTTGAATAAACTTCGTTTACATTTTTCCAACTGGCATTACCAGAAGTGCTCAGATCTTCTGCAAGATCTCATCCTTAATAGAAAAGGGCCTGAGGGCATTTTGGAAGGTAACAGAGAAGGGAAAGTTGGGGGTTTGGAAGATCTGAGCTGCTCCCTGCAGAGTAGATAATGTTTGCTATATCCTGTCACCACCCCTGGTAAAAATATCTGCTTGAACCAGGGAGAGAGAAAGGGGGAAACAAAAGCCAGCAGCAGATTGTTTCCCCCAGAATTCCATGTACTGGGAGCAGAACTTTGGATTCCATCACTTGTAGAGCTGCAGCCCTGAGCTCTAAAGAGCTCTCCCAGCTCAGCAAGGAGCAGCCAGGATGAGGAGCAGAAGGACAAGCCCCAGGAGAGGCCGTGGCAGGATCATTAGGAGAGGCAGAACAGCAAACAGCCCAGAGCCCAGCGTGACACACTTTGATCAGCCCGGCCTTGGCTCCCTGCTCCTTCTCCCTAATGAGAGCAGCAGCTCCAAAACCTCCTTCTGGGCTGGGAAGGGACTCCTTCAGATGTTGCTTTGTTCTCCTGTCCTCTCCTTTCTAAGGCAAACCAAGCATCTCCCACCAGGCTGGGCTCCCCTCAGCCCCCTGCAAGACTCCCAGGGCTGCTGTGCTCCATTCCGAAATCCCACTCTCCCAGCCTGGGAAAGCAGAGGTGTGCAAGTCCTAACAGACTCTGTTCCAGCACTCTGCATTTGCATTCTGCTCTCCTATTCACAAGGCAGAGCTGCAGAGCCTTTTCCTGCACCCCCAGAACAGGAATGAGGTTTAATAGGAGGTTTTTTCCTTACCAGAGCTCGGCATGTGGTTCACTCGAGGTGGATTCAACAGCTCCACTGGCTGGTCTCTGCCAGAAAGCCCATCTGGAAAGAGGAGGGAAAAAGAAAATAAAATCACATCAACACTTCGGGTAGCTGAGCTATTTTTAGCCATTCCAAGCAGGAAAAAAAAAAAATCAGCAACCAATTATCGATGCAGAGCAGAAACACAAGTAGCACAAATCAATGGAAATGAGAACATTCCCAGGACAGCTAAAGCAGAAAATAAAGGAGACTCTATCCCGAATTACACTCAGGGTTTCCTGGTCCTTAAGTCCACAACTGGTGCTGATCCCAGGCTGAGGAAATAGGCATGTCAGCTCACAAACCTTACCAGAGAAAACTGTGACTCCTTCCTTGCTGGGGGAACTGAGCTAAGACAGAGACGCAGCCCCACGGAGCAAAGTTGAGGAATGGCTGGAATATGCCAGGGAGATGTTAAGGAAAACTGACAAATCACTGCAGGAGATTAAAATGCAGAGACATGCATAACAAGCCCCATTTTGCATAAGTTTAGATTTCAGAAAGGCATTAAAAACATACTTTGTAAATGAGATGCACAAATCCATCTTGCTGAAGCAGTTCCCTATTTAAAATATTTCCAAGATTGTATCTTGCATCCAGGTAGAGTTAAACAGAACAACCAGTGTTGGCGACTGCCACACCTGAGTTTCTAGTCACCCATTCGCCTCCCAGAAAAGCCAAAGCAAAAAATGCTAAATTATGTTTTCAGTGTAATTACGAACCCTGGGATACAGAAAATTTATCTCAAACCTATTTGTTCCACCTCTATCAGTCTGTCTCACTTTTCCCCTCCAACCCCTTTCTGTGCTGCAGCTCTGATAGGATCAAGCCAAACCCTGTCTGGAGACATCAAAGAAGCCACCCCATCTCTCTCAGGAAAAGGACAGTGTTAGAAAAATGTTAATATTTGTTTTCTTCTCCCTGCTTTCTCTGTTTTTCTGGAGAGAAAGCACAGCTGGAGACTTCTCCATGTCTTGCCTGGGTTCACCTCCAGTGACCATACCCAGATGGAAAGAGAAGAGCAAAACATCACTATTTTAAACATAATCAAGCCATCAGGTGCTCCAGAGTCAGTAGAGAGCACAGCCCAGGAGAATTCCCAGTTTTCCTGGGGAGCAAAGGATTCTCAGCTTCTCTGCTGGGCAGTTTCAGATAAAGATGTTCCTTCATAGGAGAAGAACCCATGGACAAAACAGAGCCCTGTAGCAGCACCCAGGTGCTCTGTGAAACAAATCCAGGTCAATTTGGGGATTTTTAAAGACTTGTTTAATTACAAGAAGTGCCATACCCACAAACCAATGCTTTGCAATCTTTGTTTCAAAATGAGTATTAGATTAATCACAGCAGGACATTTAGGAGCATCTTTTAAAGCACTGACACCTGAAACACTTGAAGCAGAACCAAGCTGTCCAAGACCAAGGTCCTGTCTTTGCTGTCCAAATAAAGCTCCATAAAATAAAATAATAAAAAAAAACCCAACGAAAAAAGAAAAAATAAAGCTCTAAATCTTTGGAGTCCTCCCTCAAGCACAAGGATGTGGAGCTGCTGGAGCACTGCAGAGAGGTCAAGCCATGCAATCAGGGTTTGACTCTCCTCACAAGCCACAAACCCTGGTTTGAATACTGAGACAGCCCAGACAAGCTGCAAAATATCCCCCAGCTCTCTGCTGGCCAAATTGGTGCTAAGCTACTAAACAGAACTGGCAAGGAAACATCCCTCTCAAACTGGTTCTCTATGAATCAGTCTGATGATTTCTCCAAAACTCTGCAACAAAGTGCTCTGTCCACGGAGCCTGGAGGGAAGCAGACACCAGCCTGGCTGATTCATGGCTCGAGTCAGGGAACATTTTAGTTTCCAGATGGGCATTTCTACTCATTAATTAACAAGATGAAGCCATAATTCATTGATGGAAACTTGAACACTTTGGTTTTTATCTTAATCTGTTCCAAAGAGTTGTTTAAGTTATTCAGAAAATATAGCCAGGACAGGTTTGGAAGTAGCTGAGTTTGCAGGTTTTTAAGAAGTTGAAAATAGCAAAACAAAGACAAAATATTTATAAGTTCAGTCCAGAATAAACCAGAAACATGGCAGATAAAACCCTTGGAAAAGATGAAGCAGCAGAACCAAGACTGGAATTGTCAAAAGCAGAATTGTCAAGATTAGAAAAGACCTCTTAAATCATCAAGTCCATCTAGGGCAAAACTAAACCAGATGAAGACAGGGAAAAACAACTTCTCCACTTAAAAAAGACAAAAAATGAAGAGAAATTGAAGGCTGGAACATTCAATGAGGTCTTAAAGAAAGCTGCAAGCAGCCTGACTATAATCAACTCTGATGAGCTTAAAAATGCAGGGCAGAACTGGGAACTAAGAGGTTATTTAAATGGTTTTCCATTTATTCAGATCTTTCAACCTGATGCAAATCACCCCAGCCTACCTGAACTCCTGGAGCAAAGCAATGAGCAACTAAAAATTATCTTTAATAGACAGAGTAGAGGAGAAGTTCTACAGAGCTGTAGAAGCAAAACTTTAGGAGAGACAGAGAGAAAGGCAGGAGCAAGAGGTAGACAAAATCAGCATTACTGACTGAGATTTGTCCCCTTGGAGCTTGAAATGCAGAATTAAAACTAAAAAAAAAAGGATGGGAGATGCAGTGACAAAATGGGAGTAAAACCTCCCCACTGTGATAATGATAAAAAAAGTACAGCTACAAATGGGAAATACCTGGCCAAGCAAGGCCAGAATAAGGAAAAGCCAAAACATTTTCCAAAACCAAGCACTCTGCATTCAGTGAGGATACCGAGGATCCCAGTTCCCTCCTGGATGTGCCAGGCCATCCCTCAGGGACATGGCAGTGTCAGTGGCCAGAGCTTTAGTTTCAACACCTGAAGATGAATTGTGGGCAACCAAGGAGAAACCTCAGAGGGAAGATTTTAAAAAATGAGACAGAGGGGCTGCAGAACTTAGTTTTGCCAGCATCAGCCTGTTCTCCGTGGAGGGAAGACATCAGAGTGGCCCAGAGATATTTTTCAGGATGAGCAGTTTTCTGCCAACGCTGTGAGTTTGAGACCACTTGGCCAACTTCTGTTTCCTTTGCTCAAAAATATTCTGGACACCACCTCACTGCACAACAGCAATCAGGGGCTTCTGAGCAGGCAGGGGATTTACTCAGAGGGTGGACAGGCCCTGGCACAGGGTGCCCAGAGCAGCTGGGGCTGCCCCTGGATCCCTGGAAGTGTCCCAGGCCAGGCTGGATGGGGCTTGGAGCAGCCTGGGACAGTGACAGGCAGGGGAACGGCATGAGCTTTGAGGCCCCAGATCACTCTGGGATTCTACAAGCCAGCACAAGCCTCATCCGCTTCCATCAGAGAGGCCCAGGCCGTAGCACACGAGAGCTCCTGGCTGGTCCTGGCACTGCTCAGGAGTTCTGTGCTGTCTCCATTACATGCGTCAGCCCACAGCAATTCCATGAATCTCTTCCAGGCACAGGAACGTGGGGGTTCTTTCCCCCCTGCTCTCAGTACCCACAGTGTATCACGCTATAAAAAGCACCTTGCATTTAGTACCCGAGCTGGGCTGGGGGAAGGACCATGTGCAAACAGGATTTCTCTGCCTTACTTCCTGCAGGATCTGGGGAGGGTCCGTGGGTGGCTCTGCTCGAGTGTTTGGCTGAATTTAAAAACCAGATCATGCACTGCCCTTGGAGCCTTGGGATACCAGGCAGCTAAAACAGGCTGGCTGAGGAATAAAAAACCTCCACCCCTGACCGTTAAGCACAGGCCACTGGAACATCCTGACTTGCATATCAAGCGTGTGTGACAAGTTACAATATTAGTAATGAGAACGCTAATTATCATGGATGCGTTATTTATTTGTCTGCTCACTCGAAATTTACAGAGGGGGGGAAAAAATCTTTCAACATTTACAAGAAAGCAATTAGGACAGCAAATGGATTATTTCTCTTTAAACCTATGAGAAAATGCTCAGTGCATATTTCCTCTCTAATTTGTCTGCACTCAAGGATCTATTTTTGGAAGTCTCCCTAGACTGTATTGTAGCACCACATGTACTGTAATGGCATTTTAATTAGCCCAGAGAGCTGGAAGATGCACTCTGCATCCGAAAGAGAGGCAGCCTAACAAAATGAGAGAATCCTTCTCTTCCCTTCTCAGAGATTTACAGCAGCTCTCAGGCCGAAATACCAATTATGGCTTCAACTGGAACCGACTGCGACTGCTGTAAAAACCCAGCGCCTCACCCGGCCGCTGGAACTCCATGGCAGCAAACCCGGGTTTAAGCACTATTCACTCCTACTTTAAAGGGGGATGGTGAAATTAAAAACACTGCAGCCACACAGGGCCAGAACGGGGGACAGGAGGAGGGGAGACAAGTGAAAAAGGGATGGATCTGTCCAAGTTATCAAAACACCCATTTAGATGAAAGTTAATTCAATCCGGTTCATATGCGATAATTCTTTAATTATTAGGATTATTATAACTACAGCTAATATTGAAGTGAGCCACCGTGCCTTGCCAGTGGGTGACATCATGCATCATCATCACCAGGATGGTCTGGTGCATATATATATATATATATATATATATATATATATATATATGCTTAATTTGCCTTCATTCTGACTCCTTGCTGTGGATGCAGTAGGAAGTAGGTCAGGCTGGTGGCTTCCTCAGTTCTGGAAGAGGCTGGCACATGCGGAATAGCAAACACCCCTCATGCCCTTGACAATCCTGATTGCTCCACAGACATTCCTGAGTCCAGATGTCAGTGGGGGGTTCCACCAAAGCCAGGAGCCCACCCCAGCACCCAGTGCCTCACTAGAGAGAAACAGGATGGGGTTCAAACTTTCTTTTCCATTAGAATCCACACAAATACCTCACAAGAATCTGAAGATACCCAGGTGCAACATTTACAAGAGCTTGGTACTGCTCTCTTACCCTGGACCTTGTAAAGATAAATCCAGCAGGTCACAGATTGGCTAACATCAACGTAAAAGCATAAAAG